CTCTGCCCAATGACAACATGCAATGACACAATCTACAATGTAATCATAAGACATGTTTTTCTTCAGGGCTATTTCTTTCATGTGTATGAGTCATCAACGATTTACATAATTAACCTAATTTCTATATGGAGTTATGTTAAATGTCTTTAATTATCCATAATTATTATTAAGGATGATAAAATTAGTTAAAGGCGTAAGGGATTTGTATTAAGTATTACATTTATTTTGCCACAAATATGAATGACACCTCAAATTTGTGGCTTGTGGAGGATGGGTATACTATGTTATGCTATAATTAAGTTTTTTTTTCAAACCAAAAAAATCAACATTCAAATAAATCTAATGTCATAATAAGAATAACTGGCCTCTGTTTCACATTAGGAATTTGGGGGGCATTTCTGCCATGTTCTGTGGCACTTTTGCATCAAGCCCCCATTAATATCTGACTCTGGATCCAAGTGTTATCTAGGCACTCTGGGGTTGGCACTTTTGACCAGAGAGCAACCACCTAATAACCAGCCAGAACACCCTAACAACCCCCTAATAACAACCTAAAAATATATATATAAAATATATGTATGTAATAATCTAGTTTTCATTAATGATCATATAGTGTTGATTCGGGTTTTTCCCGCTGTTTATGATCATTCACTTCTTGCAGTAATTCAGAGATATTCTGTACAGGATTGCATTACACTGGAACAAACAATTCAAAAATGTTTTTAACTTTATTACTCAGTACACAAAACAATAACTTAAACCACATGCTGTGTTTCAGAGAAACCAGAACATGAAACAATGCATATATAACACAAACTAAACAAGTGGAGAAAATGCAATTTTCTTTCCAGCTGGCTTCCCATTTGTGTCCAAGATTTTGCTCAAGAATGTATGTAGAAGCAGAAACAGTAATTTGCAGACACAGTGAGATAGGGAAGATTGACTTCACTTTCGGCCTTGTTTGTTATCCGGCCCGGCACTGGACACATGGGCCATGTAACTCTAGTTGTGACCACACAGGAGAGGTTCTGTGCTGAGGGGGTCGGCTCCAGAATGGAGACAGATGGACGGAGGGCATTTCTCACACAGAGAATGGCCTCCACTGTTCCTGCGCTGGCCGCAGCTCACAAAGATCATTGATTTTGACCACGTTGAGTGAAGGGCTCGCTAATATCTCATTTCAGCACCGTCCTCAGCATGACCATGACACCTGTTCGGAGGTCAGGTCTAAAGAACATCTCGACTGCGGGAATCCAATCACATCCCGGGCTTTTTATTTCTGATTGTTTGGAGGTCAATGAAATAGGTTTCATTATTGAAAATGGATATCATCTATCACCATGTTGTCAGTGTAGTGCAGTTCGGGGGTTACAAATGAACTTTGGTGCAAAAATGGTACCTGAAGTGACAAAAATGGCCCATTTATTTATTTATTTAATATATAAAATGTTCAGTGTATATATTGTATTATTTACAATTAATTTTTTTCAATTATCATTATTTTTTTTATAATTTATACATAAAATTATTGGTAATATAAATATGTAAATGTATTATTTAATATTTAAATATAAGATTTATATATATATATATATATACTGAATTATATTTTATTTTTTTACAATTATATTATCCAAAGATATATATTTTATTATATAATTTAATGTATTAAATTATATACTGAATTATATATTATTTTTTACAATTATATTATACAAAAAATATATTTTATTATATAATTTAATTTATTAATCTGATTCAATTGATCTATTTAACATAAATGGATGAAACTGTTTTTACATGATTAGACGACAATATACAGCATAAAGCCATAAATGTCCTTAAAAATGTCCCCTTACATTGTACCAAAGAATAATCTGAAAAAGAAAAAACTTTAAAATAATGATTTCTACAGTGATAATGTGTGTTTCTGACCCTGCTCAATAGGAATGACTCAGTTTGGGGAGTTCACCCTTTCTCATGATCAACAGGACAGGGAACCTGGTCAGAGAGGAAACTGACCTGGCATTTCACATGATAAACTCAAGACAGGAAATTCTATTTCAATAATCATATTTTCATCAATTTCCTATTTCCTGTCTTCAAACCCTGACACTTTCCCCCCATCTACATTTACCTTTGCTCCAGTGTCCTGTTTCCAGCTTCCTTAGTTCCTTTGCTCCAACTCTACGAAAATAGAGGAAAGGGGGGGTTAATAAAGGGATAAGCAGTGGGTTTCAATAGCATAATAGCTAACAGCTAATGTCATGATCTTTAAGCTAGGGGACTAAGGCCCCGTACACACTACTGCGTTTTCGTTTAAAAACGGAGATCTTTTGCTACGTTTGCACCTCCCGTCCACACTAAAACGGCAAAAACGGAGACCCAAAACGGAGAAGTTTAGAAACGCTGCCGATCCGTTTTTCGTTTTGAATCTCCGGAGGGCGTTTTAGTGTAGACGGGTCCAAACGGAGGACTTTAGAAACGATGACGTAGTAGAGGCTCACGCTCGGCTCTATGATTGGGTGTCATCAGTCAAGGCGTATATCTTTGCTAGCAGCTGTTGTACAAGTAAATTCTGCATTTTACAACGCTATTACTGCCTACATGTGCCGGAGTCAAGCTATTATTCGAGCGATCTGTGACAATTCCCGTGAGCAGCGGCGGCGTTGACCGTACATGGAGCGTCGGTTTGGGGTTAACCCAGAGCATGGTGGGATAATTTTATCAATGAAGTTGTGTTTACAACGGCACGCGCATGCCCAGTGTTGGTGAATGGTCACTTGATCCGCGTTTTCAGTCGTTTTAATGTGGACGGAGATCAATTCTAATACGCAGCTAAAACGCTGGTGTGGACGGAGATCGTATTCGTTTTAATTATCCGTTTCTAAACTAAAACGCAGTAGTGTGGATGGGGCCTAAAGCTATTCCCATATAGGGGTCAAAGAGACGGCCATATAAACCTTACTTGTTTATATTTTCGAGGTAAACAGTTAAACAGCAGGCATCTTTTCAGCAGACCCTTTTGACCCTTGAAGCAACTGTATAACTGCTGAGGCACTGTATAAAAAGGAGAGAGTGCAACAGCTACTTTGTAGAGGAATTGCATGGGAACAACATGACTGGAGAGATCTGGTGGTGTACCACTTACTGTACTGTGGCCAAACTTTTATGGACAATTAATTCTTTTCTCATTTCAATTGTGCTTGGCCTTTAAAACACTAGCCTTGAGTAGAAAAAAAAGGCAAGAGGGACAGCAGATTCTGAGTTGCAGGAAAAGACCCCCCAAGTAAACAGATCTCGAATTAAAGAAAAATATATTCGTCTGAGGGATAGTAAATAATCACTCTCCAGTTATCAGCTCAGTTGTACCAGCAGAGCGATTACCAGAGCACATAACTGACTCTTGAAATCTCACACAATTTCCCCCTCCATACTTAGAGATTAGAATGGAAAGTAATCCTGTAAGATAATTAATTCCTTACCTCTACTACCATCTCAAACTCTCTCCCTTTCTCTGTTCAGCAAACTGTATACAGGAGAACCAAGGAAAGAAATGTCTGTAAAACACCGATTGAAATGAAGTGCTCCCTCTACAGGCCAACCGCCCACACTGCGCAAACACTATGAATAAACAAATACACTAAAATTAATTTGCATGATCTGTGACAAACACATTATAAATGAAAATAAACAATTATATACTAACTGGAGATCAAATGCATTCTTGAACTTTGTATAAGTGAAAATAACTTTTCCTATCTAAACTCTGAGGATACAATCCATATCATCAAAGTATTGATAAGTTAGCTGGAAACACTTTGAAATGTAATCTCCACCATTCCTGTCAACCTTCAGTTGTGTGTCTCTTACACCCTGGGGGGAGATTACTCTGTACCACAGATCTTGTTAAACTTGTTTAAAAAAGCATACTCATATTATTTTTTAAATTAAAAAACAATGAACTCAGTGTAGTTAAACAAGTTCCTCGCATCTCGCCTACAGTCCTCATGTTAAACGCACTAATAAAGTGTGGTGAAAAAAAAATGCCTTTAGAAAAACATCCACCTCTGGCTGAGAGGAGGGGGGATGTTATGACCCCATCCTGCTCTCCTCCGCCCCACACAGCCCAGGGCAATGTAGCGTTGTAGCAAACATCCCCAGTCAATCTGCCTCCTCCTCCAACATTTCTGTAAAACTTTTGTCCTAAGTGGTGCTGTTCTTCCTCAGCTGTAACACATACAGAAGGACAAGAGTGCAGTTCTTGCCCTGTCATGGTTTGCTGAGGTGAGCTGTGGGAGGGGGTCTGTCCTGAGTAGTGTGCATTTTGAAGTGGTCTCAAAAGTAGCACTAACTATTTAATTTGATATAAACTCTTTAGCTTTATAGGATACTTTTTAATGTAAAATAAACTAACATACATGACCAAAGCTGTAAAAGTCTGAGTAAAATATAAAGAATTTACAGAAAAACACTTGTAACACTTTCCAACTACTTTCAATTGACCAAAAATAAATAAATGGTTACAATGAAAAAAAGGTTGGTGAATGAGTTATTTTGAATTGACAATAAATTCATGAACAAAATGTTTTCTATTAATGTTATAGTAAATTGCACAATTCTCTTTTTACTTGCCATTCATCAACTCGGTTTAACTAAAAGTTGTAGATTAATTCGTAGCAGACAAATATGTGCATAATATGCTATCAAGTAAAAAAAACAAAAAAAAAAACACGGAGTTACAGACGTTGAATTAGCGCGTTACAGAACTCTATGCAAAATGTCGTACAATACGTTTCAATCACCGAAACAAACAAGACTCATGGTCGCTGATTTACTTATGAGCATGCACAAGAGCTCTAGCTAACTTTTAAACTGCTTTGCTTCTGAGGGAGAGAGAAGTAAAAACTTGAGGGGGGAAAAAAGGCGCACGAGAGAAACGCCCATATGTAGCGACGTTTCGTGGCCCCTCCTGCATTTGGGTTAAAAGGAAATGCTTCGAGAGGAGCAAGACAGAGGGGGTTTCTTATAGGGCAACACAAGTTTACACAACCAGAACCTAGCTTGTTATAATTTAAAGTATCCGATTCTTCTCGCTGTGTTTGATTTATCCTCGATTGGAAGATGACCACAGCCGTGTTGTCGCCTTTCTTCGACTTTAGCGAAGTGATCAGCAACAAGGTAAGAAAAAAGTTTCAGCTGGATCAGTTTGTGTTGTGGAATGTGGACGATCAGACTTAGAAAATAAGTTTGAATGGACGGTTTTAGGTTATTTTAAGTAACAGCAAACAACAACGACTAAATTACAACAGCTTTAACCACTCTGAAGTCAAATTTCAAGTTTAAAATGTAGCAATGAACAAGACTTATGTGCGTACCAGCGGCTTGCAGCCAGTAAAGTTCCCTGTTTAGGTTGTTCTGGAGAAATCATGGCTGTGATTTTACAACATGTGGATAGTTGACGCATAATGTTTAATCAAGATTTTAAGTTTAAAAGTTTATGAATGTTAAGGGAAAGTGTTTCTCTTAGGTCCTGAGATTGCTTGCAATTAATTTGTACTTTATCACCATATTAATCACTTTTTTGTCTCCAATAGTTCATTCAAAACGGTCATGCAGTGTGACAAATGCATTAAAGTACTAATATTCAATTAGCTAACTTCGTTTCAATTGAGAGACTACATGCATGGCAAGTGAAAAATTGCTGTTTTAATATCGTTTGACGTCGTATTACACATTACACATAGGTATACACGTCAACTTCCCACAAGTATCAACTGCCATGTATCTTTCAGATTGCTTCCTTTTGAAGTGTTTAGCTACTGAAGAGTGGAGCAACTAAATCAAAATATACTCAAACCTGGGAAAAAATTATTTTAGTTTTTGATTGACCTGTTTTGGTGTAAAAAAGATGGTGTAGGAGTCTGTGCAAAGGCAGGGCTGTCCCATGATTTCATTGAATGAAACTTTGACTGTGAGGAGTGACTTGGAAAGTGAGTCAAGTTGGTGAGCTGATCTAAGATATGAGCTTATTTCAGTGGTTAACCCATATTAACTGACCGTGTGTAGTACAGAGATATATTTTCTCATGGAAAAAAATGCTAGTTTGAAGGCGTTTCACACATGACGCTGATCTTGTTGTCAGACAGGGTTCTTAATCTTCACAGGTCTATATACAAACCAAGTCTCACATTTGATACTGTATGAGTTGTTAGGTGTTTAATCATATCAGACATGCGCAGCGCTCTTTGCTTTTCTAAAGCAGTCAAGCGTTCTCTTAGTGGGCATCATGCCAAACTAGCTATTGTTTAGGCCTGTATTTACTCATGGGTTTAACATGAAGCCAGTGCAAAACAGTTAAGCCACGTTGTGGCTTTCAAAACTGAATTCAATGTCATTATTTTCTATTTTTTTTGTTTCTCCTTTGTAGAACAAAATGCTGAACTACAGTAACAACATCCTCAGTACACCGCACCCTGTCTCTGTCCCTTGCACGGGGGCAAGTCTGCCCATCTCCAACCCCACTGGGTGCCTGCTGGACAGGAAGGCTGTGGGGACACCCTCCACTGGGGTTTACCAGCGCCGGCACTCTGTCACTTTGGCTAGCACCAAACTCAACCAAAACCAGTTCTTGAACATTGCTAAGGCAGATCCTTCCCTGCTCGGCTCAGGGACAGGAACCACCGGCAGCAGCAACAAAGAGAACCGACTTCGAGACCGCTCTTTCTCCGAGACGGGGGATCGCCTGCTACAGAAGTGTTCGGGCCCTGGAGGCCCCAACAGCCAGGTCAACTCGAGCCGTTACAAGACGGAGTTATGCAGGCCATTCGAGGAGAACGGTGCCTGCAAGTACGGTGACAAATGCCAGTTTGCCCATGGCATTCATGAGTTGCGCAGCCTCAGCCGCCATCCCAAGTACAAGACGGAGCTCTGCCGCACATTCCACACGATCGGCTTCTGCCCCTACGGCCCGCGATGCCACTTCATCCACAATGCAGAGGAGCGCCGCGGACCTCCTCCAACCCCATCCCCCCTTTCGGCCTCCAACAAGATGGACAGGCCACGGCTGCAACACAGCTACAGCTTTGCGGGGTTCCCCAGCTCTGGAGGCTTGAGGGACAGTCCCACCTCTGTCACCCCTCCACCTATATTTCCGCCTGACGATCTCCCCGACTGGCCTAGCAGCAACCCGTTCACGTATTCCAGCCAGGAGCTGGCCAACCTCTTCAGCCCCAGCCTGGGAAGTGCACCTTTGTCCTGCTCCGACCCTTCCACCCAGGCGCCATCTTCCCCAACGCCAACCCCTTACTACTTCAGGGCCATGTCAGAGTCTCCCCAACTCTATGAGTCTCCATCCAGTCAGCCAGATTCGCTTTCTGACCAAGAGGGCTACCAGAGCAGCTCGAGCGGAAGTCTGAGTGGCTCTGAATCTCCCGTCCTTGACACCACCCGCCGACTGCCCATCTTCAGCAGGCTTTCCATCTCTGATGACTAAAGCACACTGAGCCGGACCCCATCCCCCTTTCTACTGCATGCAGCAGTCTTGGGCAGAGAGGATGAGACGCTAGCACTCCCTCTACCTCTCGCCATTTCTCCGGCCCCCTAGAAGCCGTAGACTTCCCTCCTTGTATCACCTCTACTCTGAAACCGATGCAGTGAATTAAGGGATCTTTCTCTTTTTGAGTACTCTTTTTAACCAGAACAAGCTAAAACTCTCCCAGCCTCAAGACCCTTCTGTTTTCCGGGCCTCATCTCGCAGAGCCCATTGCTATGTTCTTGGTGTGACTGTGCCAAACACGCAGAGTAGGAAGTGGATTAGCGAAATGCTAATCGTGAGAGGTATGAGACTGTTGTGCCAGGTGCCACAGCTGCAGTCAAGTGTAGCGAAGCCTGTGGCATGGTTAAGGGTGAGATCTGCGCCCTTCCCCCCTCACAAATTGCCACTCTTCTCAAGGACACTCTTTCATAACTACCTAAAGTTCACAAGTGTCATGCTTAGACCTTTCACAACTGTCTTTGTAGACCGGTTTAAAGCGAAAAGAATATGAAAAAAAGACAAGTGCCTGGGGTTAAGTGTTGGGGTGAATGGACCACTGTTTCTTTTATCTTTAATATATATTTTTTTCGTTCCTTGTGGCCTAATTATGTAGCTCTTGTTTTGAGTGTGTGCTCTCCCTCCCTTGAAGTTGCAGATTACACCAGTCTGCTGGAAGGACTTCTCTCATAAGGGTTGAATGAGAATGGAGCTCTGGAATATTTCAGGCACATTCAAATGTTCAATCAGGTGCTATGTGCTCCATGTCTCGCTTACAGCCAGCCTGAGATGTCTCCACTCAAAAATGAACAATTCCTTACGATTTTTGTTGTTGTTGTTAGTGCCCCTTTTTCCCCATTAGTTGATGGTTACTTAACGTTTGTTGGGAAGGGAATCTTGTTATTAAACCTTAAAGACAAACTCTTTCTTCTGTCCCACCTCAAAATGCCGCCTTCCCTCAGTCCAATCGGCAAACAGAGGGGGAATTCCATCATTCCCAAGGTGCAGTTCAACCTCCTGCAGCTTCACTTTAGTTCTTCATGCACGTTTTTTTTCTCTCTCCATAGATTCTGCTCAGAGGAGCACTTTGTAATTTTGTCATCTTTCCACATCTTGGTTTTGATTTTTATTATGGTCATTGTTTATTATTATTATTATGGTTATATTATTGTTATTGTTTGAAAACCTTTCAGAACAGAAGGTTTTGCTTGTCACTGCTTATTTAACTTATCAAAAACATATTTATTGGTGATCATATGCATTTTTTGTTAATTTTGTTTGTATTTATCTTGATAATGAAACGATAGAATATATTTTCTTTTATGTTAAATTATGATCTTCTGTATTAATCTTAAGATTGTGAAGACTTGTCAGCTTTCTTTTTTCACAGTTTAATATATTGTACTACAATGACTTTTGTTGGCAACTACACTTAAATGAAACTTAATTTAAAGCAAAAAAGCAAAAGCAAAAAAAAAATCCTCTGCATTTTGATTTATTTATTGTCATTCCCTTTTCCAAAACATTTGACTGCAAAATCAGTACTACCACACAATCATTCCTAGCATCAGCACAGTTATTTTAAAAATGAAAGGAAGAAAATACTTTCCACTTCCACACTCCAAACCCCCCTTCCCCCCCTTGAACATTGATTATGCTGGTGAAAAATCGTTTCTTAAGCACCAAATATTGCATTTTGTTGTGAATAACGGACTTGGATTACAAATCCAGTTTACTGAATGCCTGAGCCTGGTGATAGATATGATATAATATGGAACAAATGATCAACATACATTTTTTTCAGCTAAACAAGTTGATTCAAGATGCAGGAGTTTTGTGGCCTTAAAACATAAGTACCACATTTTAAATGCCACCATGAAGTGCTTTTTTTTATTGTTTCGATTGTTCGTTACAAAGGTTTAATGATGTTGCAGGTAATAAACCTCCAGTGTTAAAGCAGTTTATTCGGTTATGGTGGTGGTGGATATGATGAATTGCAGGCAATAATTGTGACCTAATGGGTTAAAGTTCTGTTGTCTATGGACATTTGGAGTTTCCAGCCCATATGTAAAGTGCCTCTTTACACATTCCAAGAGCAAGTATTCTTTGCCTTAAATAAAGCTGGGATGCTATTTTTTTTATGACTTATTGCTTGTATCCTCAGTGGTTAAAGCAATGATTGTCCAAGTTGGTTAACAGTATAGACACAAAGAAAGTAAAAAAAAAGAGTTGAATGTATTTTTTTTTTCTTCATATTAACAGCTATTGCTGTTCACTACAGTAATTTCTATGAGTTTATATAAGATTGATCTCTTTTGTAATGACTGATTGCAGTTAAAACCAATAAAAACCCATATTTTTGAAAAAAATAATTCTGGCGTATCATTTCTTGCAGTATTCATCTTGTGGTGAAAGCAAGGCGATGGATGACTTGGAGCAAGGAAAATTAAACGCGTCCAGCTGTCAAATGCTATTAAAGTTTAAATAACCAATATTATCAATGATCGTAATAATATGTGTTTATAAGGCAGGGTAGATGGTTTTGGCTATGCATGCTACCAAATTGTCTTGAGAATGTCTCGTTCCAAGCTTGACTGAATTATACTAGCGACTGACCACTGAGGAGGAGAGAACACAAACTTATTTGGTTAGGACAGCAATTTTCACAGAACCCCAATTCTGGATCATTATGGCTTTGCTAATCTCTGGATCTGGCATCTGTAATGTAGGAAAACAGATATTCTGCATAGAAACATTGTAACCCATGGTTGACTGTCATGAGGGAGTTGTTATGAGGAATACAGTCATTAGTCTAGAGAAGGAATTGATGGGGTACTGACCTGGCTATGGTCAAACTCCATTACAGTTTCTAATGGGAAATCTGCTTCCCTGGTTTCTTCTGAAATGGTTATGAATTGGGTGAGAGTGGAGGAGAGATCTCAGAAGTCAAAGCATGACACGTTACATCAGGGCAACCGTTAGAGCCTGGCCGTTATGTAACTTTGTCCTCAAACAGATTAAGTTAACTGAAAACCCCCTTATACCAAGTACAGTTGCTTTGACATCAGATCTCACAGATTTAGGGGGAATCGCCAGTTTATTGTTTCCTTATCTGATGTCTTCCTAAACAACGGGCAACTTTTTGTCCAAATTTAGATCAACTATATTACAAAAAAATGATAAATTGCAACAAGGAGAATGTCAGAGCCTCTGTAAAGCAAATCGGATACTGCTTCTCAACATTTACATATTTGAACACTCAAGTCAGACTTAGACTTGTATACTAAAATTAAGTAAAAAATATCTTAATTCCATTGCATGAGATAACAAAATATAGAACCAAGTGGCATTTATTGTAGAGGTAGCACATGCAAACTTAAGCAATCATTTCACAAAATTATGTTTTATTAACAATAGAGCCGACTTCTGTTCCACGAGTTTTTCCAGCATCCCTCCACCCCAACTCCTCACTCTCGATTATTCCTATCCCATCCAGGGATTTGTGCCCTGAGTTTGGGCCAAATTCCAAGCTCGGAGCCCTCCCCTCGGACAGCATGCTAAATATGCATATTTTATACTATATCTGATTACATAAGTTTGTGAGGTTTAAAAAAAAAGAAATAATATATATATATACACACATATATATACATATATATATACATACACACATATATATATGTATACTGTCCAATTTTTTGGGACAGTTTCTGGTTGTCACACCTTAGTGTTAATTGTCCACAATGAACTACATCTGTGGTTATTTTGCTATAGGACACCCATGTAAACTGTGGGAACTTGACATTATCTTCTAAAAATAGCATGATTTGTTTATAAAGTCCACTTGGTTACTTTCTTATCTAATGCAATGACATTCGTGCATTTAAGTGCGGCTAAGGTGTCCAAATACTTTCTTTAGCCTTGTACAATGCTTCACTGGTAGATATGGTCAGTGTTTACGTAGAGTTCAATACATGTTTGTATTGAGCAACTTGCTGGCACCCAACAACAAAATAGCTTTTTCCAAAAATCAATAAAATATGTTCCTTGTTGCTATTTCCATTGTGCATGTGATGGAAAGAATTGAATCAGTTGCTTGGTATGTTCTGTCAGGTATACCTATATAAAGAAACCCTCAACCTCCCCATCTTTCCTTCACTGCACACACTATCTCCACCCTCGTGAGCGAGGCCACATCCTGCAGCACTTGTAAAATGTGCCTGTAAACATAGGCCTATAGGTATTCTATGTGTTCTCATCATAAACAGGAAGCAGCACTCTTGTTTCGCTTGCAGTGCGGCTGGAGAAAGAGAAAGAGGGTACGGCCCGGAAAGCTTCATGTGTGGCTTCTGTAGCAAACTGTTGCTGTTTAACCTGAGGCTGTGTATCAGGGTTGAGTAACACTCGTAGACTTTCTAATTCCTCTATCAGGAAGTCCTGGAATGGATTGCTATTTTTGAGCAGAGCAAACAGACAAAAATGTGCTAATTCTGCTTTTTTCTGTATTGCTAGCAACAGCTGAGCATGTGCTTGTGTGTGTGTGTGCGCGCACACATGTGCGTGTGTGTGTGTGTGTGTAGCACAAGGCCAGAAGAGTAACTTGTTTTCTATAAGGTAAAAGGTTGTCCTTGTCCATGAGAATAATGCTACTTGCAGACCATTACACTGAGACATATTACCAAAACAATGAGGAAACATGTCTACAATTGTGTTACTGTAAAGCTGAAAAATAACAAGTTGGTTGTGTCATAGACAAATTTTCCAGGGCCCTGTAGGCATGCAACTGGTTTCAGATTACAACAAAAACACCTGAAGACAGTAATTATCATAGAAAAAAAGGTAAAACCACTCAGAACACCTTGAAACTGAAGAGATGCCTTGGCAACCTCAGATGACCCCCTAGAACTGTGAACCCCATAGAATGTTTCACACCCCCCTCCATTTTCTTTATGTACTTTATGTATTTTTGGAGCAGCTTGTGCCATTTCACCTCAGTTATGACAATTGGAAGGTCCACCGATAGTCATCCTACATGTGAATACATGTGAAGTTTCAGAACTTAGTCAAGAACTCACACCCAGGACCAGGAACATCTCCTCCTGACTACTGATTCTGAAGTTGTGCAGTTATACAATCCTCTGGTCATGAATATTAACCTTGCCCCCCTGGCTGTTTCCATAGTCCATCAAATGGTTTCTTTTCCCTCTCCAGAGCAACCCTTGACCTACACACAGAGCAGAAGAGTTGACAGAAAAAGGTGCTAGGAAGAAAAGAGCTCGAAAAAATGTGCGGTTTTGGAAAGGTTTCAACATGAAGGTGCGCTGGTAGTGGAACCAGGTGCAAAGGAAAGTGTGGTTGTGACTGCACCCAGCCACTGGGTTCTATTTGCAGCATTTCTCTGGCTGCTGAAACAGCACAATGTAGCATAAAGTAGACCAAGTTAGATAGCTGAAACTGAGCTTAACCCAGTCATATCTCTGATCTGTACTGTGCTTACTGTTTGGGTTGGATCTTAGTGTAGGACTTTGGAAGTGTTGAGATGAAGGCAACAGAGAAACTGCAATCTCTGCTATGTAAATACAGCAGCTTTCACTGAAGGACAGAAAATACATATTAGATGACAGATGGGATGCTGGAGGAGAAATGCTGAGGCTGATATGCAACTCCATGACCAAAAAAGGTAGAAATAGCAATAAGTATTCCTCTTCAATAAAATGTCAGTCAAGTGAGCCCTAAGCTTAAGGCGGTTTTGCAAAAGTGCTTTTGTTGTTGTTGTTGTTGTTTTCATTTCACATGTGTGTTCACGAGGCTTAACATTTTCAACATTTCAAATTTCTGTCAAAAGCATCAAAGTACAGTGAGGGGAATGCATACCTCAAATTGTTTGATGTTGCTTTTGACATTTTAAGGACGTGAGAGTAATGACGCACAATGTGTCTGAAGCTCCAAACCACCTTTCTTCATGCCCTTCCTGCCTCGCATGTTCTCAAACAGTTTAGACCCAAAATAACTTGTTGTTTTCCCTCTGATAACCCACACATTCAATCACTGACTTTGCTGAATCCGATTGAAAGCAATGTTCTTTCAACTAGATTAAAACTGGAAGCAGATTTTAGTATTACTGGGTCATCCATATTGACTGAAACTTAAAGTCAGTGCGATGCAATTCAACTTCAATGAGAGTTGGTGATGTGAGGCGCATGTGAGTGACAAAACCATTGGCGCTGTGATGTAAATGTGATAAATGTGGCGCCGAACAAATGGACAGTGGACATGACATGATCCGCAGCCATCACCTCCATTAATTCACTGTGAATAAACCATAACAGGGGAAAGAGAAAGGTTGGCGTGGTCTTAAAGGTCAAGCTCTAGATGGTAGGCGACTGGAAACCTGGTCTATTTGTGTGAGCATGTGTGGGTGAAGGTGATGACGCTGAGACCCTTCTCAGATAGTGTCGGCCCAGATCCGGCCCACATCTGGTACGCGTGGAATCCACATGTGTCAGATGTGGCCCGGATCTGGGCCGACACTATGTTGCTGTCTGGGTTGTGCCAGACCAAAACT